CGCTATTTGAAGGAAAAATAAATATTTGATTAAATATTGTGCCTGTATCAGGAATAGTGAAGAGCAAATAAGCTACAACTTACTCCACCATTAAGTGGCCCTGATCTAATAGTGAGCTGGCATAACTTGTTCCAAGTGACCCTATACCAGTATACTAAGGGGAAGGGTGCCCTCTTCCCCAGTCTTTGATGTGTAATGATCCAATGAAAGGTCAAGCTGGACATTAGATGGTCATCAGAAGGTCCAACGTCGAGACACTCTTTGATAAAGCAATGGTAGCAAAAGAAAAATAATCCTGCATGATTATTTCTTTCCATAGACTGGATGGCCAGGGGACATCTACAAAAGCCCCCTGGCCATCCATACACTGGCCATCCATACAATGGCCATCCATACACTACATAGCTAAACCTTTGCGGACACCTGGGCATCACACCTACATTATATGGTCAGTACAAATAGACAAGGTTCCACATGAGTTCAGGAGTTTCCATTGAAGGGCACTGCAAATGCTACTGCGTACAAAAGCATGTTCGACAATTGTGCACTTCCGACCTTGTGATAGCAATTCAGGGAAGGCCCTTTTCCTTTCCAACATTACTGTGCCCCCGTGCACAAAGCCAAATCCATAAAGACATGGTCGGAAGAGTTTGGTTTGAAAGAAGGTGAGTGGCCTGCTCAGAGCTTTGACTTTAACCCAAGTGAACACCTATGGGATGGACTGGAAAGCTTATGGAAAGCCAGGTCTTCTCATGCATCATCGGTACCTGACCTCACAAATGCTCTTTTGGCCTAATGGACACAAATTCCAAATATAGACACTCCAAAATCTTGTGGATGACATTCTCTGAAAAGTGGAAGGGAGCTGCAAGGGGGAAGGGGGGGAAATTTATATTAATGGCTTTGGAATGGGATGTCCAATAAACATATAGGTGTGATGGTCAGGTGTCCACAAACCTTTTGGCATTGATTGTATTTATTAGGGATGCACCGGTACAATTTTTTCAGTATCGAGTACGAGTACCATATTTTTTTTTTTTTGGTACTCGCCGATACCGAATACCAATACTGTAAGTCCCATTAAGGAAGCTGGGCGGCATGTAATGACTCGCCGCCCGGCTTCCTGATTAGGAGGAAAGCCGGGCGGCATGTAATAACTCGCCGTCCAGCTTCCCGATTAACCGGGAAGCCGTCTCCATGCTCCCTCGTCACCAGGTGGCATCACTTTCTGGCCAATCAGGAAGGCGGGAGGTGGGTAATGGCTCGCCACCTGGCTTCCTGATTGGCCAGCTTCCTGGCCAATCACGGAAGCTGGGCGGTGAGTCATTACATGGTGCCCGGCTTCCTGATTGGCCGGGAAGTTGGCTCCATGCTCCCTCGTCATCAGGTGACAAGGGAGCATGGAGCTGGCTCCTGGCCAATCAGGAAGCCGGAGGGCGAGTCATTACCGACCCCCGGCTTTTTGATTGGCCAGAAAGCCAACTCCATGCTCCCTGATAACGAGGGAGCATGGAGCCGTGTAATGACTCGCCGCCTGGCTTCATGATACTCGCCCAAATACTTTGCATCGGCACCGATACCGATACCAGTATCGGTGCATCCCTACTATTTATATCCAGATGTCCAGCTGCAGAGTACTGTTCAGTAGTGATGTGCAGGGGCTCAAGCAGCGCAGTGCAGTGCAGTGAGTTTGCTCAAGCCCTCACAAGACTGTCAGTGACAAACCCCCCTCATGGTCCCGCCGTAGCTGGTTGGACTGGGAAGGGGGTGCCAGTGACAGTCTTTCGAGGGCTTAGGCAAACTTGAGCGAATGTGATTCCCACCAAGCCCCTACACATCACTACTGCTCAGCGGCTGCCAATTCCAGCCCTAAAGGAGATCACTCTTTCAAATCTTATAGGGATCCATTTGGTTATAGTATCTTGAGTCCAATCAAAACCTTATCACTTCCTAAGCTCTGAGGAAGGGGGAATGTTGTTGCCTATGTGTTGACTGGTTTTTACATCATCGATTTATGATCAATTAAAGTTAATGTCAGTCCTGGGACCTCTTCCTCCTGACCTGGGCCCTACATGCTTCACGCTGCTCCCCTCACGTTGTTCCGGGCGCAGCGTGATGTATCATCCAGCCGGGCAGCAGCCAATGAGTGGGAGCGGTGTAATCTCCGCCCCCTCATCACACAGAACTGCTGCCCATTGCCGACTAGAGCTGCCGCGGACAGGATGGGGGAGACAGGGAGCTGGAAGTATGAAGGTGACATGGGGTCTGGGAGCGGAAAGCTGGGGACATGAAGGGGGAGATAATGGGGAGCTGGGGACATGAAAGAGAAGAGTGGTTTTTGTTGTTTTTCCTTGTCTAAATTTTGTTTTAAAAAAAATCTAATTTGTTTCTTCTTGGGGGGGCCCTTCATGGATTTTTGCATCGGGGCCCTGGGGTCACTAGTTACGCCACTGTTGTCTTGTGTTGTTTTAGTTGTAATTGACTGTTTTCTTATATCTCGGTAGGGGTTGATTTCGAAAAGGAAAAAGAAGCACAAGAAAAAGACAAGTTCTTCACCACTTCAACCAGATGAGAGGTAATCTGTAAAAATTAAAACTCCAAATCTTCGTCTCTAGGGGACACCTTTCCAACAAGGGGCATCAGCTTAAAGCCTACTCAATAAAGACATGGTGGGAAGAGTTTGGTCGAAGGAAGCTGAGTGGCCTACACCGAGCCCTGACCTAAACCCTACTGAACGCCTATGGGATGAATTGAAAATCTGATAGATAGCCAGGTCAACCTAATAATAAACAATGTCATACAGTATATTGCAGGTTACCAGTCCAGAGATGTGATGGCTGCATTAGATTTCAATTCTTTAGGCTAAGAAATTTTTTTATGCTAAGAACTTAAAGTACAATTAAACTCTCTGTTTTTTTTTTATATATCTACTGCTAGCAAGCTATAGATATATGTAAGATATATAGATATATGGGGGTGATCAGTGAACGGACATTTCCTCCCAAGCTTCCAAACGACACCAGAGAAGCCGTTCCCAGGCCCGTGGAGGGGCAGCGGAGCCCAGGAAACACGGCGGGGGCACCTGTTTAGAAGCGATCTGCCGTAGAAGCGATCTGGCGGCAGCTGAGCCGCCAGATTGCGGCTACGGATCTGCAAAGCTATCCCATCCTACTCCTATAATTGTTTTAGGGGTTGCCGGGTGGAGGGATCGGTCCTTCACATTTGGTGGTCCTGCCCTAAGGTGAGGAGATTCTGGCACAGAGTCTATCAACTCCTATATACGGTCACTGTCAAGATGTTTCGCAAAGACCCTTTGGAAGCTCTATTACATAAAAAACCACTGGTGTGTACGGTTTGTCAACACCGATTGATTGCCTTCATTCTTACGGAAGCCAAGCGGGTCATTGCGAAAGCTTGGAAGTCGCCTGATCTACCCTTTGCTGCAGTCAAATGTAGAGTATCACGTGTGATGTTCTTCGAGAAACTTACCACAATCCAACGAGATGACATGGTGCCATTTAGGAGGCTGTGGGAGCCATGGATTGAGTCGTACCTCCCTCCCTTTTTCAATGTGGATTCCTTGACCATGTGATGACTTACCGCCAGAAATAGTGACCAAGTGTCTCCACTCCATCTCCCTTATATTCCTCTTTTCCTCT